TCCGACAAATGAATGCAACCAATGTAGGATGAAAGCACCCTAACAATGTCCCACCAAGAAAAAAACGCAATTTACCGAATATTTTAAGTTTATAATTCGATTTTAGTGAATTAGAAAGTGCTCATTTAGCTGTCATGGTATTTAATGCAAACACTGAGTCATCAAACTTAACGTCTTACATTAAAGCCAAATCCTTATTTTGCATAAGGAAATAGACCTTACCGAATGTCATCCTGAGTAGGTGTGTGCACGTGACATTTACATTGGCTGCTGCGTGCACCTTTAATTTAGCAAACGTCAATAAGATTAAACTTGCATGTATGTCTTCATAGATGTTTAACGCGTCGATATTTTTTGCCGTGATTATATATCTGATTATACATTTCGTCCATAGTGAATCTCGTCATAATCCAAACGTAAAATTTTTTACTGCGTGCCATTATTCCTAAGAGGGGCTCTCTGTTAAGTTCATCAAGCTGATTCTACCTAAAACTGAGCGTGGACTTCATTAGTAACTTAAAGCAAGATCCATTAACAACACGTACTCTAATTGTGCCTATAGCCATAAGCGTACGGTACGATGTGTTGGGCTGTGAATCGTAGTCTACAAAGGTATGTCAATTCGTTGGATGTTGAGCTATTCTAAAATCAGACGCTACACCAGCTCACATTTCAGCAGTACTCAGCCTTTCAAGAAAATTGCTCCTCTAAAATAGACAAATGACAATTAAGTTAGTGCAGCGCTTCCAACATTGTTTCGAAGACTGTTACAATATCGCTTAATGTCGTGTTTGAGTAATTCTGCAGCACGCGTCTTTTCTACCACAAATTTTCACTAACACACTCCTGAAATCAAGCTTATTTGTTTGTTTTTCATATTTTTTGAAGGCTGAAGTGCCCCTTTCTAAATTCGGAGGCAGCAGTGACATCTTTCACCAAAAAGTCCCTCATGAACTAAATGCAGCTTTTTTTTAAATTTCAGCCTTTGTAAGCACAAATACCTTAAAGTTAAATAGCATTGCATCCTGATATTAATTTTAAATTGCAAGTTATAATAGAATTATGATGAATCATGGTCACAATGTCACATAGAAACGTAAATATTCATAAAAATTTAGTTACAGGGCTTGAAGGAATCATTAAATAATATTTCTGAAGTTTACTGCATGATCTTCTTTATACAAAAAAAATGATTTTGCAAGTGACGTCAAAGTGCATGTTACTAAAACATAACACAACATAAAGTCAAATATGTTTCTAAATTTCTGACTCGTAGAACCAATCCCATACAGTACGGTGCCTTCCGCAAAGAAGCCAAGTGCATCAACTTCTAAGGCAGTTGTGTCAAGCTTTCGTCACCACAATGTGCAACTCAAGGCAAATGAACTCATCGAAACATGGATCTCGGCTTCACATTTGTATTCATCTGACCTTCAGCTTAAGGACTAACACGTTACAAGTAATCAAGAAAAGCGATATGAAAGTGATCTAGATAAAATTGTAATGCAGCCAGAGCTGTCTTTTAGTGGTCGTTTAAATCCTTCTTTTCTATTTTTTTCAGTTTTCTGGCTACTATGTTGTGAGACAGATTAGGCAGTTTGTTTCTCCGGAAAAACTTTGCTGTTTATGCTTGCTCAAGATCGTAAATAGTTTTTCCTACAAGCATTGAGATAATATAATCTAGAGTTTACACTTTCCATTCCAAGGTTCTGGAATATTGCAGGCACATTGTCATTTTTCGACAATCTCATATATCGCTGCGATGTTCTTGACTAGCCGCAGAAAATGTTTTTTTCTTGACAATGATGATTTTGTGTCGTAACAGACGTCATATTGATATTTAAACAAAACTAAATAATATGATATTTGAGCTACAAGACTTAGCCAATGGCTTCTGTTTTCACCGGACTATCTCATGCATTTTATGCAACCCAATTTCAGTGAGACCACTGATATTAAAGCTTTTGAAAACAGTGTGGTCTATTGTATGGTTCAGAAACGCAAATTCGGTCAAATGACCAAGAGCAATATTATCGTGGAGAAGTTTGTTTAAAGGCAAAAAAGACTTTCTTAAAAACCAGCGTTTCGATTTTGTGTACTTAAGTAATGAATAACATCGTAACTATAGAAACATAAAATTTAATCTGATGCTTTAAATGGCTGATGTTTCTGAATTTAGTTCACTATTCCTGGGGAACTTTAAAAAGTCAATTTCCCAGGAAGTCTTAATACCGTAAGCCTGCATTGATCGACTATTCATTAACCGTTGATGATTGCTTTAGGCTGTAGTGTAACAGAAGGCAGCAGATAGAGATAAGTGCTTTTAATTAGATTACTTCTCAAAGCTGTTTGACCTAGATGTAATTGAGCCAAACCTGATTAGGCAGTGCGAATCAAGATGTTTTAGTTAATTTGTAAGAGGGCTTGATCAACAGGTAGCTGTGCATCCTGCTAAGCTACCTACAAATTAATGTTTTGACAGATCAGGCCCATACAAGATTATTTGTGACTCAAGATCAAATGGCAATTTAAAAGCGAACACGTAACGTCAGACGTGAGGCGACCTAATTTGTGCACTGTGGGAAGAGTTGATTATGGTAGCCATTTCCACTGGAGGTTACTTGAACACTTATTTAGTTTTGCCCGCCAAGATTTGATTTCACATAGTCACGCTCGGCCATTATACAGCCATCTAGGCGTCACCCTGTCTATTAAGGCTGAATAATATTTTTCTAAAATAAGCTAGAAGGAGGAGAAGTCAAGACGGCTTTTCATTCTTTAGAATTTATTTGAAATGAATGTTCATCAGATGGGTAGCCTAAGTTTCCAAATGACAGACGGCGAATTTGAAACACGTGGGCTTGATGAGTAACCAGTTAATTTGGTCCCAAGTTATGTAATGAATTTACTTGTACAGAGGAAATCAGCAATAAACATTAATTAGATGCCAAATCTCTCATGCTAATGCATTTAAGAGTGACAGAATTAAGGTCCTCATTCACATTGTAGAAATCAATCATGAATGCTGATTTTCCAAAAAATCACTTTTGTAGCTCTTGGGTCTGCCACTTTATCACACGCTTAAAAATAAAATTTAGGTTAATGAAGTCATGTGGATGCCATCAACATCTTAATATTAATTCGTTTATCTAATGAACTTAAAAGAACTCGAGTGCTTGTCTGCTTTGAGTAAGTCTAGTTAGATAGTATTTGGACAATACTTGCGATTGTCGTCGTAGAGCATCAACTCTGATGGAGTAAGATACGTGCTACAGGCATTCGACAGTGTTAGACAGATGCAAATCAGTGACATAACGAGGAGGCTAGACGCATCTCTTGGATTGGCATTTGGCGTTATTATTTGAATCGATCAAGTGGAATTTGCTCAGTTCTCTGAAAGATGGGCGCCAAAGTCGTAAAATTAGAAGGACTGAATCTAAAATTAGTCAAGGTATAAATTTCCAGAATTTTACGACATCCGATGTGCTCGTGCAAAAATATCTAGCATGACAAAAGTGTTTGTGAGTTCTACTGACGACCTAAAACAGTAAAAATGCCAAAATTGAAACTAAAAAGCTTATAATTCATTGCCACTGTCACGGCTCTAGTCCCCGTGTTAAATTTGTTTTAAAGAATTTAGGAAGAAAAATATGGTTTGGTGTCAAGTAGCATATAAATTAAGGAAAATTATATTTATTTTATGCAATGGCCCGAACAGTATAAAAATCGAAGGTCCGTCACTGACGCATGCCAAGCTACTTTAAGATAAACGACGCCATTTTTGAAAAAAGTCGATGGGAAGATGAAATCAAATTCGCGACATTGTGGAATGTCAAATGTAGCAATGATGGGACGTTTTCCAAGATCAGTTTCAATGTTTAGGATTAAATCTTAGTTAAATTCTTGCACATAGGCCACTCGAAGTATGCAATCACACCATGTAATCCCATACCGGTTTAGCTGGTAAGTAGAAGGTTATAAATAATAATGGCTGAAAAGCACCATGATGATGCACGATTACAAACTCATTTGCTAAGCATTGATTTTGTGAAATCTCTGGTGAGAAATCAATTTGCGTTTTCGTATTGTTACCAACCCGATTTAAATAAAAAGGCCAAGAGTGGCCCTGAGTTCCTAAAGGCCTGAATCGGAAGCCATTTTAAAATCCAACAGTCAGCACTTCATGAACCACATTTGTTTATGAATTAGAAACGGTGCTGCTGCATGAAAATAAATTAGTAACAGTGTAACTATAGTTATGATGCTAAAGTTCTACGATCAAATGCACATACAAGCATCTTAAACCGCCATTCTATGTGCCTCAGAAACAGCAAGTTTGAACACATATATATTTTATTCGGAGAAATGACATTAATTAAAAAGATATCACCTGAAGGTGAACAGGAATTAGGTTAGATCCTCATTAAAGGAACTGTTGTTTGCCAGACAGAAACAAAAGAGAAGGAAATGTCAGTTTGTTGGGGTAGCCTTTGAAACCCGTTGTGGAAGCTTCCAGTGACTAGCGTCTGATGGGGTATTTGTAGGAACCACATTTCTGGCATATTGGAGCTGGAATCAAAAATTTGATTTAGTTTAATAAAAGTAGTACTTTCACTGCGTCAGTAAAAGTGCTTCACTTACGGCCACGAGGTCTTGAACTAGATCGGTGACCTAAAGTGAAATTAGGTTGATAGAAAGCAAAATAGAAAAATTCACAACTTTTAAGTTGTCCATGACAAAATATAGAATAATAGTGGATCTAACGCCTGAGAGTGATGGCTCTTACCACGTGAATGCCTGCCACCGCGGTCTGAATCGTGTCCCTTTGAGCGTACTAAAACAGCCGAATGCACGTAGCCAATAAATATGGTCGAAATTGTGGCAATATAATTTAACTTAAAATGATTTGATTAAGCTTGCCTCGAGTCTTGCGCGTCCAGTAATGCTCAATGAGCTCTCCATCACTGTCGGAGCTGATACAGGAGCTTGAGCTGTCGGAGTTACTTGACGAAGATGAGCTCGTTGATGATGAGGTCGATGATGAGGTACTGGAAGAGGTCGTGGTTGTCTGATTAGCTGAAACAGAGGGATGCTTAAAATTAACCACACTGAAAACTGATTTATGGTGCACACGTGCGGTTGGCAACTTACTGTCCTTATCACGAGCTCCATCGACACAGGTGTTTGCTAGAAAGAGGTAATTGTTCAGCATTATTAATAATAATGGGACATTGTGGAAATGCTGTGCATTAAATATTTAAGCCTACCTTTCTTCTTCCAGAGCCGAGAAATGATTATCTTTTCCTCACCGCTTGGGGCCTCGCATCCTTTACGAGCTAAAATCGAGTCATTGGATGGTGCGTCATTTGTTAATTCGCAAACACTGGACCCATTGTAAGAGACTTACATGGTGGCTCACGCTTCCAGTACCGCTCAACCATTATTTTTTCCTCCCCATCATCAGATGAACAACTGGATGAATCTAGAATAAATGTACACGATGTTCAAATTTTGTTAAGTATATAACATGGAAAATTTGGTAACACATTCTTACCGCTGCTCTTGCTTGACAGGCTCTCAGATCTATCTACAATTTACCAATGTAATTCGAATTAAAATTAATTGAACAGCTAAATCGTTATTCTCTTCTCTTTTTAAATTTTATTAAGTTATGATTGCACATGTGTCATGTGAATTAATTGAATTTCTTCATCATTTTAACTTAGTCTAGTTCAAAAATTAAACTTACCTTTCCTTCCAGGTTTCTTCCAGTAATGTTCCTGATTTTCAGCCTTAGGTTGAGCTAAAATGAAAAAAATTGCGATTGCATTACATTTTGTAGAATAATCATATTACATGCTAAATCCAAGTCAGTTGTTTCATGTCCAGCTGTAGACTGTAAGAATACCTAACTTAGGAATCCTGGTAGTGTCGGATAACCCGAATTCATCTCAGCCTTGCCTTTGCAGTCAGGGTGTTTATGTTTGGGGATTGCAATCTGATTTCGGGAACAAAACCTAGTGTTAAAGCCTTTTTTCTGCTGTAATCGCCGTTTGTTATCGACAGAAAAAGTCTGCAAGTTAAATCTTTCAAAGGCCATAAAGTAAGAGCAGTTAACCCTCCACGTCACATTATTCTCGATTTAAAAAAAAGTATAAAATCCTACCGTATCGTGAATGTCGGCGTGCAGGCATTGTAAGTCTTCTTTGATTCCGTGATTCTGGATTGGGGAATTGATGAGGTGATTGTGGGAGATGACTTGTGGGGTTATATATTGAAACCCCTTGCACGTGAACACAGCGCTCGATTAGCCAATAGGTGCAGGGGATCGATGTCAATGGTTATTTTGTGCAGAGGGCTGTGTGAGAAAAAGAAAGTGTGTGATCATGATTTTCTGTGAGTAGGTGCCAAAGCGATGACGTACCGTTACTTTGTGAGCTCTGCAACATATAATGGTATGGATGGTGCTCAATTGAAATACGATGCCTAATTGGATTTAAAATTCCTAGTCCATAGGGCATTCGCTTCTGTAAAATTTGGCGTAGATCTGTCGGTGAATGTCTACTGAATGCATGCGGTTTATTCCGAAAAAGGTAGATAGACTTGGTTTAATGTTGCGTCTATGTGTTCTTATGCGTTTGGATTTCATGCAACCAGCAATGCCAAATATGGGATGAAGGGGATCGAAGTAAACACAGGGCTCAGCCTTCCTGAACTCAAGATTTAGAGTAAATTCGGATGCAACGGCATCTGTGCGTTTGAAGTTGTTATGAATTTTCGTTTTTTTGGATGCGTGACTGACTATTAACACAATCAAATACAGATTTTCAAACAAATCTCTCAACACTTTTGACTTGAATCTCATAAATTTTGTATTTTGACAGAAATTTTGTGTTCTACATGTAAGGTCTGTTTCCGCGAAAATTGTTTAGTGCAGTCTAAATGAAGTCCAAATCGCCAATTTCCGGATGCCAATAAATTTAAATGTTAGCAAACAAAAGAAGGTTTGATCCTTCGAGCACACAAACTCCAAACCTAATTTTTTTTCTCTTTTCTTCAATAGTTCACTTAAGGTCAAGTTAATAAACGTAAGTATGCAAGTTGACTAAAACTTATCTAATTCTTTTTAAAAATATAACCGACACCTTTGGCTTGCATTTCTACGCAGTTTCAACATGATATATGCAAACCAGCCAGTTTCTTTTGCTATAGTTAATCTTATTTGTGTTTTATTTGTGGTTCACCAAAGTCTTCATCATTTAGAGCTGACAATCACTGTTCATTCCTTAGTCCAAGACTGTGCTTTTTTGCCAATGGTCTGCGTTGAACAGAGGCTCAGTACATTTATTTGGCAATAGTCCTTTGTTTCTCCTTAGTCTTTAAAGATCATATGTTAAATTTAGTGTCTATCCTTGAGGTCTTTCGCATCCTTGTTTATAGATGTGTCAGATCAGGCCTTTCCGTGTAGTGAAAATCACTCACTACTGACCTTTAAATATGTCAACCATTGTATTGGAAGGATCTGCATGTCGCAAGTAGTTGTAACACTGCTTGGTTCGATTTGTTTCTGGTGCCTCCGACAAACTTCTGTGAGTACTTCCACGCAGAATCTTGGTTGATGGCACCCAAATATTACAAATGAAAATTACTTGTCAAAACTCTCTTGGTAGAACGTAGAAAATGCTGATCAAACTTTATTGCATATTAGTTAAAGAGAAGAGGTTGAGTGTTACTAAAGAAAGAAATAAAATGGGGTTTTCATTCTCTAAGGACATTACTTGATTAAACCACTACAAGTTTTCTTACTTTGTGAGTTGCAAATGTTGCTGAATGCTGGCAGGTGTCTGTTTTGAATTTTACTTAAAGGTGACGTGTATGCACATCGCCGAAAAACATCAGCATTAGAAAGTTCAACCGTTAGTTGAAAATGCGAATTCCTGCAGCGAAGACAAATTTGAAACGCTCGTCTTCAACCAGTGCGGCTCAATGCGCGTGAATGTGGTATATCAATATCATGACGAACTATCTTGTTTCCACCCATTTTGTCATTCAAGTGAAATTGGCCGTTTGAAAACTTTTAAATGGGTGATCCCTAAGAGTTGCAATCATCCTGAGTACTTAGTTTATTTCAGAAATTACCACTCTCTTTGATGCTATTTCTTCCGGTTCATTGACCTCAATCAGCGATTAAGTTCACTTAACCCCACCTTTATGAAGTAGTGTCTTTAATCACTGTTACTGTTTTTCTTCCATAATAAAAACATTTTTAGATTAATTCATTGAAATTTGTCAAATTTGGAACCTAATAATACTCAGTCACATTTCTCACAAAAAGGACCAACTTTATTTTTATCGTCATTAACCCTGGCTTGTATGTTTGAGCTTCAAGTCTCTTCACTATCTTGCTAGGCAGGACATTCCTCGCATTTCCGCCTTTACCTTTATATTTATAAGCAAAATTGCTAGCCATTATTAATAAGTAAATTGCTTAACTTGTTGATGTACCTAAAAAATCGATGAAATTAAATTGCTCATTGCCGTTTTTGAATTTGGCTTGACTTATGAGAACTCTTAAGTCCACTTCTACATGCCATCAGTTAGGTTTTAGGGTCTAGTGATGCCAAATAACACTTAATAAACATAGTTTATACTGCCTAAAGTGTGTTAGAAAATTAAGATACGTTGCATTGCATATTGTGTAAATGCATAACTTCAGTTATAGACGGCAAAGCATTCTTTTAAACAGTAACATTTGCTTGAGGCTGCTTGTTGGCTCACAGTGACTAAAGCTGCCTAAAATAACTAAACGATCACCTTTCGAGGTCGAAGATTAATAATCCCCTCTGTAGGTGAGACGAATAACAAAAAATATTAATATAAAACCCGTCCTATCTCCGCACCTAGACTACTTCAAGTTGTTAGCGAACATTTGCAGCCTTGATCTAGTTTTCCTTGTGCAGTCCACCTCATTGGTTCGTCTTATTCTACTTATTTTATATCAGCGTACTGGTTGGTTTCGAAAGTACTGTGAAATCAGTCGCAATACCCGTAAATTAACACTAGGATTTCGTCATTGTACACATTAAGCCCGTGGGTCTAGTAATAGTGCACAACTGTATGCTCCAGATTTTCTTGGTTTTTATCTAAACAAAAATATTTTGGGTTGAAATATTACCACGCGTCATGTCTTTGTCATTTCTGACTAAACCATTTTAGGTAGTCTTAGTTACTATAATTTTCTAATTAATGTGCTTCAGTGATGCATAAGTAAATTTTTTTTTAAAAATTCATTTTTGCTTTGAATTATTCCCCCTAACACGAGAATAAAACATGCTCCTGTTGAAAATAGGTCGTGTGGCTGGATCAATCAACTGTTGATGGACTGCGCACGTTCCATTTGGACTTCCGAGAAGTTGTTGCAACTCATCTGGATTGGAGTTTAAAATTTTCTTTCTTGTCATTGACTAGACAATAACTCATGATTTATGTCCCACACCAATAATTTGCCGACCTTACGCAGCACCACTGTCTTAACCTTGACTTCTGGTATTGACGCATTCCCAGTACTGTAAAAACATTAGCGTGACTTTGCATCAACGACAAACCCCAAAAATACCGATTTATTAACCTATCGGTTTTCTTTTCACATTCGCTATGTTAACACCCATAATCTTCACAGCGTTTGTAATTTCATTGACATTCTGTAAGAGGTTCTTTAATTACGAATGCAGGCTTGTGCGATGACTATTCCGTCTAGCCAACTCATCATAAACGTCACTCATATAATAACTGTTTAAATGCTTTTAGATTAACTTCAGACAACTGTAGCATTGTACAGTGCCCTAGACAGATAAAAGGTTTCCATTTTAAATTAACTAGTAGTTTATGTTTCAAATCAGTTATTTTCATCGTTCTTTGAGCTATTTAGCGTTCCATAAAGTCTACCAAAAATCTAAGTTGAATTCAGAAAATTTAAAGTATTTGTGTTAGATGTTTTCTTAGGTATTATTCAATGTATTATGATAGCCTACACTCTAATGCACCGAAAGTGTCTAGGAGTGGCATCACCACAGGAGTTAAAATTGAACGTTAGTATCAACCGTGACCTGTCTGCTCGAAAGGTTCCCTTGGACGCTCTTTCCACAATTTCTATCGATTCACACTTTTTAAAGAACGTTTTTGATCCACTGGTCTCGTATCTGCTTTTCCCATTTGTGGTCATTATTTGTTGTCAACGTGTTACATAATTCATTTTAATAGACTACGAATATATCAGCTAACCAAATTTAATTAGCACAGCCTTTCACTAACCACATGCACAACAGTCAGCCAGGGATTTTATATAAGGGTTCCGTTAAAATCACCACCTTCAAAGTTGATGCCACTTAAACAATGGCATATTGACCTTACCGGCTTCCTAACACGCCGTTAATAACCCCTGTTGGGAGTTAAAATTACACAAATTGATTATTTTGGTCATTTATGGAATTACAGGCAGCAAGTGGTAAATCTTTTACACTGAGAATGGACTGGTGCTCTAAGACTAAAAAGCCATCAGCGTCTTCTTCCTTACGGAACACATAAAGGATTTCTGCAATAAAATGACAAGATCTGCTTCAAATTTCGCTACATGTCCCTCTCGTGATTTCAGCGACGCCTTAATAAAATTTTGCTGCATTTAAATTGACTTTTCTACATAAATGGTTCAAACACATTTCCAATATCAGCCTTTTGCTGCTCTGAGAGTAGTGCATTTTTCAAATAAGGGGTGTGGATTTGCTTTTAGAGGGCTGTAATTGTTCCCCACATGTGCCATAACCTCATAATGGGTAGACTCATCATTTTCGCTAAGTAATTTGATTAGGCGCACCAGTTTACCCTCGCTCTGGCTCGGTTTTCAAACCATTCAAACTCTAGATTGGCAAAAAACAATTCAATTCTGATTTTTCGTAAAAATGAGGAGGGACAAAAGTAATGCCAAAAATGTTAAAACTTTAAACCACCTTGGAACTTTTCTAAACTCAAAATCACTGACTGGTCAAAGGCTAGTCTATTCCATCTTATTTCATATTCTTTAATTTATTCAAATAAGCATGAAATCACATAAAAACTTCATTTTATGTAGTAGTTTTACTGATTGATGCTATGAATGCAAGATTGTATTCTATTAACGCTAGCGGGTAACTTTAATTTCTGAGTATGCTTCGCCATAATAATTTTTAGTACTTAACGATAAACCTTGTCAAGCGTATAAAAATTTCACGGCATCATGGATCAACCATTATTACAATAAACTTAAACTTGCGGTTTTTATAAATTGTTGCTTTAAGTGGATTGTTTACTGAGTACAAACCCTTGAATCATGTAAATCTTTATTTCTACGTTGATAGACTATTCATTTCAACATACCGCACTCATACAAATCTCCCTCTGTTTTAAGCAAAAAAAA